ACAACTACCACCACCCCAACTACCACAACTACCACCGCCACAACTACCACCACCCCAACTACCACAACTACCACCGCCACAACTACCACCACCCCAACTACCACAACTACCACCACCCCAATTACCACAACTACCATCACCCCAACTACCACAACTACCACCGCCACAACTACCACAACTACAGCCCTCACACCTTCAACCACAACAGCTACAACGTCCCCTCCATCCGTCCCATCATGTAAGTATGAGAAATGTAAATATGTCAGATTATTTCTGCCTGCAGGTGGATGTTTGCTTTGATCCAAGTCGGGATGTTTTCTGTCTACACCTCAGCTGTTACAACCCCAGTTACAAGTGGTGATTGCAGTCCAGCTATTCTGCTAACAGCTAATAACAAAGTTAACTTTTTATTTAGCAAATTAGCTTTTTCACCCACTTTAGAATCCATTAGTAGACCAATTGGCTTCCACCAAACTTAGTTATGATAACTTAAGTGATGCTAACTAAAACAGCTACACCTTACTCATGCAGCGTGAAATTATAAATTGTAATGCATTGATGAATCGATATTTTTACCCATCCCTGTTCGTACTAATTACTTTCATAAGCTTTTTAGTTTATGCTCACCGCACACCTGGGGACAGTTTAGAGTTACCAGCTAACCTACATTTGTGAATTGAACACACCAATGCTTGTAATTATTCTGATCTGCATCATAATGTTGGTCTTTTTGTTTCTAGATATTGTTGTTCTTAATGCAAGAATCTCCACCACCCTGCCTATTACTGATACCACCTTGGCTCAGGTCAGTAACTTTTTCCACTCACCAGTCAGTTTCAACTGGTTTGGTCTGTAAAGTGCCCTCATTTGTTGCCTTCTTCACCTGTACCTTTACAAAATACTATTACTGACATCAGTTCCATTAGTCATGAGAAGCCAAATGAGTGACCCTGTTTTTGATTATTCAGATGTGATTTGTTCTCATTGAGACACTGATCAATTATATTCACACCATCTGTTTTTCTCCCACAGTTTAAACAACGACTGGTTGACCTGGGACTGCCATCATCCACAATCATAAACATACGAAGTATTGATCCGTTAACACCTGTAAATTGATAAAAATACACCTGGGACCTGGAGGGAAATGGGATTTAAAAATTTTATGCCTCTCTATCTTTGTTTATTTTTTGTCTTAAACATTTTTAAGAAGTATAAATATATATTTTTTTGATATATTGGTATTTGATGTTTTATATTATTCAAGTGAAATATGTTACACAAATGAAGTGACTTCTACCAAATCTTATTGTCATGTTTCTCTGTAAAATAGTCGTGATTTTTTGTCCTTTTTTTTGTCTGTGTCAATTAATTAGAATAAATAATTTTATTTAAATAAAGTTTCCTAAAAATTCCTCTTTAACAACAAAAGTTTAATCAAAACCAAAACGACAATGCTCGACTGCTGAATGAAGTAAAACGGAAGGAATTTATGGACGGGCTGATGGGAAGAGTGGCTGCAGCTGTGATGGGTGGAACTAAATGGTATGTGTCGCCACAAGGCAAATATCTGATTTGATAACCTTTATTTTGAAAGACAAAACTTTATCCTTAACTTATTTTTTGTGTTTCATGTCAACTTTTAATTCAAGAAAATTAGTAAAACAGCTTTCAAAAGAGCTGGTCATCTTATCCTAACCATTGGACGAACATCTAGTAAGTAAAAGCTCTGAATTTACCCTTTGGAACATTTCAGAAGATAAAAACTCATTCATTTTATGTTTACATTTTGTTTTTTCTTTGCAGATTGGTGGGAGTGAACGCAATGATGTTTAAGAGCCCTCCAGGCAACGCTGCTGGTGTCACTCAAAACCAGTTATTCAACAACCCTGATTACGAAACTGGTTTATTATTCTTTAGGAACGTGATTTTGTTAGGTAACACTGTAAGTTCTGTGTATTTCTTTCTATCTATCTATCTATCTATCTATCTATCTATCTATCTATCTATCTATCTATCTATCTATCTATCTATCTATCTATCTATCTATCTATCTA